TAAAGGTTGTACAGATGTTACAGTCAAGGCAAAAAAATCTGTTCTCCACTACCTGTGCAAAACAAGAGTTCATAATTATCAGTTTATAATTATCAACTCAGCCTAAATCTGCTCCCACAAAATACGCCTCTCAGCTTCTCTCACACTTGTCATCAACAGCAATATTAGAAATTATCTAGTGATTCATCTTGAAAGCATTTGTCATGCATGCTCATACTAAAGATTTTTTTCCCATCTAAATATTCACATACAAAACACTTTCAACAAAGATGTAGCTGTGAGCTGAACCTGAGTTTGCCCAAATCCACTGTAAAGTGGACTCATAAGCACTTGTTCCAGAGTATACATGTACCTCAGCCATGATTACCCCACCGGTGGTTGGTTAACATTCCCATCAAACACTAGTAAAAAGATTACTTTCTAGCTGTTCTACCAATCCCATTCTACTAAAAAAAACCCCAATATACCACATAGCTTTTGTCAGTGGTATTACTTATGATACATCTGGTAAAGAAAAAAAATACCTGGAAGCACCAGAGGTGATCAGAACAGCACGAGGGCCCCACTTAAGCACAGGGTAGAATTTCACATCCTTAAAGGAGGCAAGAGGGACTGTTTGGGCATGCTCTGCTTTATTACCAAAACCCACTGCCACTTACAAAGATTGCTGCTCTGCTGCCTTCACATTCTGCAGATAGACCTTCCCTCTCACCCCCACATCATGCATCTGTAGCAATAATTAGACCTATGAATGTGCTAGTATTAGACACTCACCCCAATGCATCAGGCTGTGCACTTCCTCACCACTGTACAAAGAAACAACTGAGAAACACCTGTGCTAAATAACACCAGACTAATCCACTATTAAAAGTCACAGTTTGTGCTCCAGTCTGCAAAGGTTTCTACTGAAGAAAGGTGCTGAGCTGCCAGTGAATCATCCCTGAAAAAAATAATCTGAGACCACGACAGCTTAATAAATAACTCTGAAAGGATTTCACAGAGTCCATGTCTCCTATCACGCTTGTATAAGCTGTTTACAACAAGGGGCTAAGAAAGGAATCCTCAGGGAGCCACAAAAGGGGGCATATTCTTCCCAGAAGAGTTATGTGATTTTTGATATGAAGTAATCTGATGTATAGATGAATGAGACAATAAACAGTTTTTAGAGAGGAAAATGATTATGCTGGATTCTGAAACTAAGCACAGCAGGCAGCAGGTTTACAGAGAGGTGTTGGAAAGACTCATATGATTTCCTAAAAGGTGATATGCTTAATCCCTCAGAAAAGGAAGATTTAACTGTTACCATCACTCTAAAATGCAATACCAGATCTCAGAGGTACAATGCAAGGATAAACCCTTCTCATGGCTTCATCTGGCACATGATTTAAATTACTCTTCTATTATTAAGGCAAACACTCAGGACTATACCACACATTATATATATCACCATAAATCCACCGGAAAGCATTTCCCTTAGCCATGAAAAGAAATCCATACTTGTTGACATGCCACCGCAGTAGAGACTACTGTCCAATTACTTTTGTGCAACATTATCAGAAATAACAGGCCTATCTCTCAAGATTCACCACATTCCTACTGAAGTGAAATGGTTCACCCCAATGTGCATCATAATGGGGAAAATAATATTAAAAACTACACCAGATTAAAAATTAATCTCTTTGTTCATGCTAAGTGTGGTTCTCTTCAAATGAAACTTGAGAGAAGACATCATGGAACAACTTGCTCTGTTGATCCCTAGGTTAAATCTATAGAATGTATATGGAGTGATAATATCAGCCTTTAAGTGCTTTCACGTTTTTCTCAGATGAAGTCTATTCTAGAAAGGGAATCATAGAAATAATACTTAATAAAAAAGAAAACATACCAACCAGGAGTTACTGTAGCCATTTGTATGAGTCATATACAACGGCCCTGTTAAAAAAAAGAAATACAAGCTGATCAGTTGGAGATGATGATTTTGAAGATTGATGGTCCTTTTTTGTGTTTATACACACTGTGTTTAGTATACTTGATAAACAAAATACGTCCACAGTCCTAGCAGCATGAGGATGCTTCTACAGAAAACAAGTCAACAACAACAAAGCCAGCTCAGTTGTTTTGTAGCCTCTGGCAATAAGTGCTGTATATTTATATAAACCTCACAACCAAACCTTTTGAACACTGAACTGCTCTGCAGTGAGAAAGCAAGCATCTTTTTCCCATGTGCAGTTGACTCACTAATGTCCATAAGATACAAAATCTGTATCACCCAAACATTCCTTCTCACGGGATATAAATAATAACACCAAAACCAAGCAGGACTGACGAGTAGTGAACAGCAGGTATACAAAACACTCCTAGTCCTCTGAGTTTTATCTCACACTCCAGTCTCCCTGAGTCCTTTCTAATTACCCATCCATGTAACATTCACAATTCCCAAAGCAGAGGCAAAAAAGTAGAATTAAAATCATTAGCTTGACATGAGAACATGGGCTCATGAGAACACACAAACGTGGGCCAGCCTGATGCCATTATTTTTTAAAACATCTTGCTAATACAGTGACTGATTCAGAGAAGTGTGTTTTAAAACATTCACAGCAGTCGTCTCTTACCTAATACAACCCTTCCTCCTTCCTTCCTGCTGCCTGATGTCTTCCTCTATCATAAGCTGTTCAACTTGGCAGTTCAGAGAGTCATACCTTTATTTATACAAGTTGTTTAAAACAACTACCTCACAAGAAAAGTTCATTTAGAAATACTAAAATCAGATCTACAAGATCAGCCATGTGAATATATGCATAAGTAACTCCCCAGTGGTCATTCCAGCAAAGTCTCTACCTCCACAGAAGCAAAGCAAACTGCAAGAACAAAGCTGTAAGACTTTGGAGCAGCTACCATGTAACAATTCATTTAAATTTGTGAGCCCTGCACTAACTTATGAGGAACAACTTGCACGAAGTAAACAAAAAAGCTGAAGTAAACAAAATCACGCCCTTTACTTTTTGTATAGATCGCCATGCACATGCATAGAGCTATACGGCACTAAAATATTTAATTAAAAAACAAAAATTGCCACATAGAAGGACAAATTCCCGAGTAAGTCCTTTGCTTAATTAAATCCTATGATGAGATAATATAAGATGACATGTCCTTTCTTCTTTGTATTTCTTAAAACCATCTCGCATGCTTCAGAACGTATGAAGGGTAGCTGATTGCCTTGTCTGTTGACAGTCACCAAACGCTGTCTGTCCCTCTCCCGCGCCAGCCAGTGGCTGTTTCAGGCTGCCGGCCCACGTCCAGCAATGGACAGAAATAGTCCTACAAATATGACACCTGGGACAGCAGTTGCTCAGACAGGGGGTTGCAGGAACCGGCTTTCTTTTGCACTGAACATCAGCTATATTTGGGAGAGTGAGCAGGACGTGAGCCACTGCTGCGGGCGCCGGGCCCTCCCCGTGACCACCGCCGCTCCTTCCCGGCCGGCCCCGGGCCCTCCCGGGCTCCGCTCGCCCCAGCAAGGCCGGACGCCAGGTCCCGGTGGTGCCACCCCGGGCCCTGGGTACGTCGGTTGCCGCGGAGGCCGCGCCCCGGGCTCACCGCCGGCCCGGCCGAGTGCCACACCTCCCGCAGTCCCGCTCCCGGAGCCACCTGCCACTGCCGCCGGCGGCCCGGCCCGGCCCCGCTCCGCTTCAAAGCGGCCGAGGCCGAGCCGCGGCCCCTGCGCCGTGAGGGCGCGGCCCCGCCGGGCGGGGCGAGCGCCAGCAGGGTCCTGAGGGGGCACGCGCGGGGCTCGAGGGCCGGGCAGGTGCGGGGGCGCTCCGCTGCCCCCTCGGCCTTGAAACAACGCCACGGCGGCCCGTCTCTCTTTTTTTAGCCTTTTTACCTTTTTTTATCCATTCGCAGCCACCTTCGCACCGGTGCCGCCTCCCTCCCTTCCCTCACTGAACACCCGGGAGGCTCCCGCAGGGACGCGGCCGCTCCCCGCCCGGCAGCCGCGCGCGGTCCCGCTGCGCTGCGGGACAGTCCAGCGAGGGAGAAGACAAGAATAAAGTTCCGAAGCGCTTCCCAGCGCCCCTGAGACACTACTCTGGCCGCTGCCCCCCGGCGCTGCCCCGGCAGAGGGCGACCAAGGACAGCGCCGCTGTGCCCGCCCGACACGCGCCCCGATGGCCCCGGTGCAGCCGCCACGGGCAGAGATACGGGCGGCTGCTCGGAGGTGCCTGGCACCACTGGCCCCGCCGTCGTGCCTGGGCCGCAACAACGCGCCGTTCGCGGCTGCCGCGTGTCGGGACGGCTCGTGGGTTCCGCCAGCAGCTGCTGTGTGAAACACACGCGTAACGTTGCGGAGATTCCGCTGGGAAGCGCTGCCGCTCTGGCACGGAGAACGGGGTGCTGATCTCCCCCGATGTGCCCATTCTCCCGGGGATTAGAACACCTGAGAGGGACCCCCGAACGCGGCGCTCCCAGCACGGACTGCAGCCAGGCGCGCCCGCGTGCAGATATCGCTCACGGGAGGACCCTGGGGTCGTCGACCGGTCGGGAACACACACGGGAGGCACAGCACGGCAGAAAAAGCCGGGCCGAGCCGCAGACCCCAACGCTCGCCGTTGTGAGTCGGACCGCCCCGTCCGACCATAGGGGCGGCGGCCTGAGCCGCACGACGGGGACCGAGAGGGTCCCACTCCCCGGGAAGGTCCCAGTCCTTGCGGCCCCGCGGCCGCTCGTCCCCGCGCGCCGCGGGCCCGAGGGAGCGGTGCGGGCGGGCTCCCCATTGGCCGTTGCTAGGTGACGTGCGCCGCGCCACGTGACGCGTGTTAAATGCCGCGGCGGCGGCGCGCGGCGCGCAGAGCCCGTCCCGCGGGCGCGGCGGGAGCGCGGCTGCACCGCCCCGGCGGAGCGCGGGGAGCGCCGGGCATGGTGGCGCGGCTCTGAGCGCCTCGCCCCCGTGGAGACGGCCCTGGGGCGGTGGCGGCCTGTGCCCCGGCGGGCGGGGGCGCGGGATGACCGGGGTGCTGGAGAGTCTGGTGCCGGACATGCACGCCAGCCAGATCTCCGCTGGCAGCTACCACCAGCACGGCGGCCTGCATAAGCCGCAGGAGTCCCCCACTCTGCCTGTCTCCACGGCCACCGACAGCAGCTACTACACCAACCAGCAGCACGGGGCGGCGGGCGGGTCGCCCTACGGCCCCGTGGGCTCCTACCCCTACGCGGGCGGCGGCGCCGCCCCCTACTCTGCTAAGGCCGCCTACGACGTGGGCTACGCGGGCGCCTACGGCTCCTACGGGCCCTACGGCAGCAGGGCCTCTCCGGTCAACAACGACTCTGGTACGTCCGAACCCCGCGGGGGACACAGCTGAGTGAGCCGCCGGGAGTCCGGCGGTCCCCTCCAGGCCTGGCGAGGAGGCGGTCGGGGCCCGAGAGCCGGGGGGGGCCGGGAGAGCGCTCGTTCTCGGCGGGTCGCCCCGACGGGGCGGGCGGTGATGCCGCGCTGCGGGCGGGCCCCGGGGCGGCGAGGGCGCCTTCCCTTACCGGGGTCGCCGTTTCTGCCGCAGCAGAGAAGGAAGACTGCGAGCCGGAGATCAGGATCGTGAACGGGAAGCCCAAGAAAGTGCGGAAGCCCCGAACCATCTACTCCAGCTTCCAGCTGGCCGCTTTGCAGCGGCGCTTCCAGAAAACCCAGTACCTCGCCCTGCCCGAGAGAGCGGAGCTGGCGGCCTCCCTCGGCCTCACACAGACGCAGGTAGGGCTCTCCCGCCGCGGGGCCACGGGCGCGTCTCGCCCCTCGGTGACCGTTCGCCCTCCGCGGGATTCTGGGAGGGAGGCCGGCCCACGGCGCCTCGACGGCCCAGGGGCGGGAGTGCGGGCGAAGCGGTAGCGCCGCCGAGGCAGTGCCGGGACTGCTCGGGCCTGCGAAACCTGCGCGTCCCTGCCCCGCCGCGGGCGACCTGGGCGCCGGGACGGCGCCGCAGAGGCTGCGGACGCCTGACCCTCTCTTTCTCCCCAGGTGAAGATCTGGTTTCAGAACCGCCGCTCCAAGTTCAAGAAGATGTGGAAGAGCGGAGAGATCCCAGCGGAGCCGCCTCCCCGCCGCAGTGCTTCGCCACCGTCCCCCTCCTCGCCCCCCGCCTGGGACTTTGCTCCGCATCCGCGCACGGCGGGCGGCGCCGGCACCGCCAGTCCCAGCCCCGCCGCCGCCTTCCTCGGTAGCTACTCGTGGTACCCGCCGGCGCCCGGCGGCCCGGCGCACCTGCCGGCGGCCGCTCCCCTCCCGCAGCCGGCGCAGCCCCCGCACCACCACGGCGGCGGTAACATCTTCTAGGCGCTGCAGAGACTTGAGTCCCCGGGTCGCGTCCGGCAGCCGCGGGGCACAGAGGTGCCGCCACTGGTGTTTTGGTGAAACCTGGCTCCGGCCGTTCCGGCGGAGAGGAACCGCTCCGTTCCCCGTCCCGCCCCGTTGCCGCCAGCGGCGGCCCCGTGTGCGTTCAGCCCCGTGGGTCCGCCCGCCCGCCGCCAAAACAACCACGCTGCGGAATAAGTACCCACGTCCTTCCTTTCGTCCTTCTTCGTCCTCTCCCCCGGCGTTTCATCAAGCCATCGGTGCAGAACTCTGGTTAACTTTATTTTTTATTTTCTTAAAATTGATAGGTGCCTTTGCGGATAACCTCACCTCGATGTTGGGGATTAAAAAATAAAACGATAAAAAAAAAGATAAATAATTTTTATATGTAGATTTGAAACAGAAGCCCCCCGTGTTTAAGGTATCCTTTTTAGCCGTGAACGAAATCGTCCGGCGGGGGTGGGGACTGGTCTCAGGCGGCGGTGCCGGCGCAGCTCCTGCCCGTGCGCTGCCTCCGGGCGGGTTTCGTCCCCCGACGGGGCTTCCCCGGGTCGGGCGCCGAGCCGCGGCGAGCCCTCGCCTCCACCACCACCGCCCCGCCGGCAACCTTGCCACTAACCCTTCCCTTGCGCCGTTTGATGTCTAGGATCGTGGGGGGAAAAAAACAGGGTATTTTTTGTTATTTATTATGGAAAACTTAAACACTCTTTAATGTTTCTTTTACAACCAGCAGAGATTATTTAAATAAATTATTGTTTCCATGGTGCCCACGCTGAGTTTATTTGGGGATGGGAGAGGTTGGGGGTGTCGATCCGGACCCGGGCGTTCGCTGCGTCCCCTCCACCCAGTTGCCGCAAGCGTGCAACTTCCCCCCTTCTTCCCCCTTTTCCCATCTACAATAAAATCTCGCCCCTGCCAGTCTTCTCGGCGAGGCCATGAATCACTCAGCGCTGCCTGCAGCAGCCTAGAGCCGCCCTCCCTATCCCCTCCCCCGCCTGCTGGCGCCAGTGACATTTCACCCGGGACAGAGTCCTGCCGTTTCCCGGCTTCCCAGACGGTCAGGAGGGGTTTGGGGCAGGGCCGTGTCCAAGGACCTCAGTACTCCTGGAGCTGGTACCCGGGCGCAGCCCTGCCCCAGAGACATTTCGCTGTGCCCCTCCGGCTGTGGCACCCAGGCCAGCAGCCTGTGTGGGAGCTTTGCTTGAGCCAGAGCTGATGGCTGCCCCCGAGCCGCTCTGTGGCTCTTCGAGGGCTGGAGGCACCGACTGGACCTCTCCAAGATGTGCCCCTGGAGGACTGGACCCCTTAGGATGTTCCTCTCTGGGATGCAGCCCCTCAGCCTCCACCCTTCATAGCTCCTCTGGGATGTACCCCACGAGGATAGGATCCCTCCAGGCTTAACTCTTTTTCAGGCTGCACCCCCTCCCAGTTGCACCTTTCTGAGACGTATCCCTCGAGGGGTGGACCCCTCCCTGATGTAGCCCGCTGGAATGCTCCATTCCATTCCCTGCACCCCTCTGAGCTGAACCCTCACTTTATGACCTCGGCTGCACCCTTCGGGGCTGCTGCCTCTAGGGATGCCCACCTTCCAGCTGTGCCCTTCCAAGCTGTAACCCTGAGGGGTGCATCCCTTCGGGCTGCATCCCTAGAGATCCTAGTGCTGGAAGAAGCAAAAACGGATGGGAGGGGGGGTCTCTGGCCCTTGTCGCCCCACCATCCTTGGAGGTGGAGGCAGCGGGAGACAGAGCCGTGAGGAAGATCCCGCTGCAGACAAGATGATGAAGAGGCCCAGACTAGCTTGGCCGGGGTAGGGAATGCGCAGCCTGGCCGAGACTCTTCCGACAGGCCTTGGCATGAGGAGCTCGGGAGGGGCCGGGGAAGGCGGAGGGGGGCGGCCCCACAGGAGAAACGTCGGGAGGAGTGGGGGAGGCGGGAGGGCTCTCTCCTGAGAGCCTGGGGAAAGCTTGGGGGCGAGAGGAGGCGGGGGTCGAAGGAGGAGTGAGGAAAAGAGAAGAATGAAGGGGGGGTGTTGGAAGTCGGGTGCAAAGGAAGCGAGAGGGAGCGGGAGAGACAAAGGGGGAAGCGGCAGCTGCCCTCCGGTCCCGGCGCTGACCCGGCGGCGAGGACGCGGAAGAGAGTCCAGAGCCGCCCCAGGAAGCAGCGGGGCCGGCCGCATCTCCCCCCTCCGTCACCCTCCCGCCGGCCGCGGGGAGACCTCAGCCCCGACTCGGGCCGGGGGATAAAGGTTCCCCGCTGGCGTGCGGCGAACCGTCGGGGCGGCGGGCGTGGAGCGGGGCGGCACGAGTGGCGACAGGGGCTGTGTCCCCAGCAGCGCGGTGTTTCCGCGGACCCTGGCGGAGGGAGGAGGGGGGGATGTGGGATACACCCCTTTGGCAGGTGACAAGTTTTACTAAACTGATCGACCGAGATGCACGAGGAGACCGTGGGCGCGGGCTGAGATGGAGACGGTTCCCTTCCCGTTCCCCGCCCCGTCGTTTTTACAGACGCTTTTCTCAGTTAAATAAAGTTCCCCCCAAACACCTGCGCCCAGCGTCTCCAGCCCGATGCAGCAGTGCTGTGCGGTGTGTTGCGTGGCCCCGTGGGGTTGGGCAGGATGTCGACAGCCGCGTGGGGTCCCCGGGACGGGGACCTGCCCAGCGGGGGACGCTTGTCAGCGGTCGGGGAGCAGAGCACACCGCACCCAGGACGGGGGCCTCCGCGCTTTCTTTCTGCTATTTAGTTATTTAGTATTTTATTATTTATTTATTACTATTTATTTGCTGTCTGCTAGCAGCGGTTCTCTCTGGGCTGTCTGCACCTGGTGTATGCGATGGGTTTTCCGTGTTTCAGCATCCCCGTATCTCCCTGAACCCTTCTAGCCTCCTCATTTCGCCCACTGCTCGCATCCTAAATGCAGCTCACACCGTGCTGGGGTCGGCGAAGGCAGGGACGCGCTGCAGCTCCGCGCGTACCGCAGATGCATACGTATAGATATGTGCATGTTTGTAATCTGCTTTCTTCTTCTCTTTTCCTGTCCGATAGATGGGACAGGATCTCTCTGTCCGATAGATAGGGCAGGCGCGGAGAACCATGAGCCCTCGCACAAGACACAGTGACGCGGGACTCGGCCGCCCGGGGCCGGGCAGAGCCGCGGGGAATGGGATAACCGAGGGGCGACAGCTGCCCCGGCCTCCCCAGCACTCCGGGGAGCGCTGGGGAGCGGGGGAGGGAACCTGGGGGGGGGGGGTCGGGACGATTCCACCCCACATCCCAGCGCCGAGGGCCCCCCCGTCGGGCCCGGGCTCGGCTCCCGGCGGGAGCGGCTGAGCGGGGCCGGTCCCGAGGGGGCGGCCGGGGTAAGTGACAGCTCCGCGGCCAGCCCTGTCCGGGGGGGCGGCCTGGCAGCCACCCGGGCAAGAGGCACCCCTGCCTCCCCGGTGCACGGGCGGGGCCGGCCGGGCTTGTACCGTTGGGAGGCAATTTACTCATTTGCCCGGTGAAAAGAGAAAGCACGAGAAATTCAATTAAAGCGGCTCTGGCAAAAGGAGTTATTTGAGGCATGAATGTCTCCCCTAAAGCTGAAGCAATCATGTGGCATTAGACACTTCCGGAATCCTATAGCCAACTTGAAAAATCCCAGACCCCTTTTTTCCCTAATTTTTGCTCTGATCTGTAATTTTATCCACATTTGCACTAGTTTGAGCATTCTGGCTCTCCCATCTGAAAGCCTGCAATTACTATATAATTCTTCGCAATTTCACATGTCCTAATATGGACTGTAATTTTTGCGCAAGACAATTTCCTGCTATTTCAAGCATCAACATTGTCAAAGTTGTATGTACATAATAAATGGGAATATCAATGCATAGTTTTTAGCATAACATCTTGACTCCTCGATAATTATATCCGTTCGGAGCCTACGCAGAATTAGCCTGAATTGCATGGTAACTGCTGCTGCTTTAAAATTTTTAAAAATTACTCATAATTTTCCCAAAGATTACCAAGATCTCGAGTGCACAATGTCATCAGCGTAATGAAGAGTAAACATTTATGCTAATAATCTGCAATTTTTTTCATCAGCTATAAAGACAGAGGCTATATAGCAGAAAATTTCAGTCATATTCTGCAAGAGCAGAGCTGCAAAAAGGCTGCTGCGCTCAGAGGCATGTGCATCTCTGGGGGATCTCAATCCACATTTGCACTCTCAGGATATTATTATTGTGCTCGGCTTCATTTTTTTTTTCGCTTTCTTTCTCCCTCCCCTATCCTCTCCCTCTCTCACACACTCTCTCGCTCCTCTAACTTTCGTAGCAAAAAGCCGCGTTCGGTCCTTTGGTTTGTTGTAAAGCAAAGACTTGTGCCCAGAGCCTCAGGGACTGAGGCGGAAGGTAAGGGTGGCGACACAGGCTCCTTTCTCGCGGGGGTAGGTGAGTGCACGGGGCGCGACGTGGATGGATGCCCCGCGCGGGCCGCGAGAGGGGGGAAGCACCGGCGGCGGCTCCACCGGCCCAGTCTCCCTGCAAAACGTCCCGCCGGCGGCACCAGGGCGAGGAAGGGGAGCGGGGACGGCTTGCCGGGCGGCGGGGCTGCCGCGCAGAGCCGCGCCGGGGCATCCCGCGGGTCGTGCCGGGGCATCCCGCGGGCCGAGCCGGGGCATCCCGCGGGCAGAGCCGCGCCAGCCGCGGAGCCAGCGCGGGCAGAGCGGCGCGGGGGCGGCGCGGGGACACTCCCGCCCGGGGCCGCCGTGGTGCCGGGGGCTACGGCGCCGGGGAGCGCTCGTTTTCGGCGGTGGTTTTGTGGTGCGCGTTTGTCGGTTCCTTGCGGAGGGGTGCGTTACTGCCCGGTCCCCAGACGGGAGCCGGGAGGGGAAGGCGCCGACGCCCAGGGGACATGGCACTTTTGCAGGGGCATGAGAGCGGCGGTGGCGGCGAGAGCGGGGCAGGTGGGCGGCGGCGGGAAGAGCGGAGAGACCGGCGGCTGGGATTTCTTATCCCCCTCTGTCAAACGAAGGGAGCAAATTCGGAATGCAAACGGGTTCTGATATTTGATTTTTTTTCTAGTTTCAGGGGCCGCTCTGTGCTCTGCAATTAGATTGACACATGTACAACATCCCCAGCCATTGAAAGGGGTTCGCAGGGACACTCCAAGGGGATTTTTTTTTCCTTTTTCTTTTTGGGTGGAAGATATTAAAGAGGTATCTGTTGTTTGGCAATTTTGCTAAGTCTGTCTTCATTACTTCAACATTGTGCATTTGCTAATTTGGAAGCCCCTTCCTATTGACAGCTCTGCTCCATACACCTGCAAGCAATTTGCAGAGCTCCAATATAGGAGAATTGCAGAGATGGCAGCTCGCACCTATTTTATTTTTTTTTTCTTCGCTTTTCTCAATGCACAGCAAATTTGGCTTTCAGTGCGTTATCTCTTTTGTTAATGCAAAAAGATTCCCTGGGCGAAAAAATTGCTCATAATTACCAGAGAGATGGGGAAACTGCATTAGAATAAATAAACCTGAAATTACTGTAATTATGTTGTGTTTGATGGGCTCGGCTTGTAATCAAGAAGAGAATACAGTGAAATGATGCTGACCCTCTTGGGTTTGCAGCTGTACGCGCACTTTGGGGTCTTTTTTTGCAGAAAAGAGTCATTTTGATCATCATTAAGCTGTGTGTAACCTATTTCAGAAGTGTTTGAAAATGAGGGGCACTTTTTTTTTTCCCCAACAAGGAAAAAATATATCCCAAAATTACATTTTGCCATTTACAGACTCATCCATAAGGTTGTGTTTGCCGGGTGACAATTGGTAAAGGTATAATATTCGAAGTCAGGACTTAATCATTGTAATGAGGTATTGTTTCAATATAAGCACCTTTGGATTATTCATAGTTTAATTAATATCCTCATTATGAAAATCTTCGAATCAGATATTTGATGAACTACTTGTCAGCAACAAGGCAGAATTAATTAGGCCTGTATTGAGATTAACATTTTCAAATGTACAATTATAATAGCCTCTAACTCAAGACCGCCTCGCTGAGAGAAAACTAATAATTTCTCTATTTAAACTGTTAGCAAGACGTTATTGAATTAGGAGAAGCTAATATATCTTTAAAACGCTCCGAGCTGCTTGACCACCACGTTCCTGTCCGGTTAAAGGCATTTGTGGTCTCCGGCTGAGCCGCCGCGGGAACTGCGCGGATCCTGCGGCGCTGCGGGGACGCGGAGCCTTCCGATTCCGCTCGGGGCTTCGAGCCGATCGGGTCCGGGCTCGGGCCGTGGCACCGCGGGAAATGCAAAGATGGGGAGCGTTTTCCAGGTCGGATCCAACACCCCGCGGGCCACGGCGCCGCGTGTGCGCGCCAGGGCGGGTGCTGCGCTGCCGCGCATCGGCTGCGCTCCGGCCCAGCGCAGTGGGGAGTGGGTGCGTCTTTCGGGGTGGGTGAGCATCGCCCGCGGGGCTGCACGGCCGATCCGCCGCGGAACCTGTGCGCAGAGACGCGCACGGCCAGCCGGCCCAGCCCGGCCGCTCCCGGTCCCCTCCGCTCTGCAGCGCTTTGCTGACCACAGCAGCGGCCCGGGCTGAGCCCGGCGCGGGGTGAGCGCGGCGACAGCGGCACGGCCTCGCCGCCGACGGCATAGGCAGCTGGCTCGGCTGTCGGGACGGGAGGCCGAGGCTGTCCCGACCTGTCCGCATCCCTCTCCCGTCCCAGGAACTGTTCCCGGATCCCCCTCGGCCCGGAGTGATCCCCCGGCTGAGGGTCCCGCAGCTCATCACGGCGGCCGCCGCCGCCTAACTCAGTCTGGTAGGGCGCAAGGGGACACGCTGCCCTGTCCGGGGCGCGTCGACCCCCTTACTCTGTGTCGCCTCCCGGTTACGGCCACCGCAGTCCCGCCGCGGAGCGCGGAGCCTGGCCCAGGCCCCGCTCCCGGCTGCGCTACGAGACAAGGGAGCACGAGTGTCTCTTTTTCCAAACCATAATTTTACTGTCTCAAAGAAACTTTATAACTTATGTACAAAGATTTGTGTGGGTTTTTTCCATTTCCTCCCCCAGATACAAAGCAATAAGTTAACATTCTCAATATAAAACTAAACTTTGACATATAGAACACTAAACACAGCCGAGCTCAGTTTATCACATCTTCCGACTTTCACAAGTAAAATGTCAAGATCTCAGTACACAAAGCATCATGTTTTACAGCCACACGAAACAGAACAGAAATAATAATTAAAAAAGGCTAAATTTGTGCAACATGTTTACAGAACAATAATAATAATAATAATAATAATAATAATAAAGAATAAAATATGTACAGCGAGTAGCTCCTGCACGTCGGTTTGTGCATTTCGACTTTGGGCCGGCTTTGGGCGGGGAGGCCGCGCTGGGACTGTGCGGGTGCGCTTGCCCACCCTCCCGGCGGGTCCCCCCCGTCGCCGCCGCCCTCGGGGCTCTCGTTCCGTCCTCCGCGCCTTGCTTCACCTCAGCAAAGCGCTCGGCAGCTGCTGCGATTCCACTTCAGAGTACCAAATAATGTGCATTTATTTCCTTTGTTAAATACGCGAGAAATGCAAATCATTCAGACCAAACCTCTCCACACCAGCGAAGTATAAAAGTTATTGTCAAAGTTAAAATCGCATCCTTCCCTCGTGGTGATTTATTCGAGGAGGGGCGGGGGGAACGGGACGACGGACCGTCTGTGGTTTCGTTTAAATTGTGCGTCCGAGCAGTGCACTCAGCAAGCTGAGTTTGTTTCTAGCACTCTCATAGTGGTAATTTAAATCAATAAATAAAACCCCTGTCTTCCCCTTTTAACAACAACAAAAAATATACAGATGGATAGTGAAAGGTACAGAAAATGTCGAGGGAAGGAAGCTCTGGTAAATTGTACAGCTTCCTTCCCCCTTGCAATTGAAGAGACCGTCAGATCGGGGTAGTAAATAAATGACCTACATTTCAACAGACACAGACAGACAGACAGGACAGAGGAGAGGGCTTTCCCCCCCCCCAACATCTTTTTCTGATTGTCCCACAAAGCCGCGGCCGGCGCTCGCTCTGCTCCCAGGCTGTTGTGCGGTGCTCGGGGCCGCTCCGTCAGCTGTCAGCGGTGGGAACCGGCCCGCATCACATCTGTGCTCTCCTGCACCGAGCTACCGTGCAGCGTCCTAATGGCTGGATGGGCAAGAGACCTCCTGTTTGTTTGTTTGCTTGGGTTTCTTTTGTATTTTTTTTCCTCTCTCTCTCTTCCCCCCTCTCTTAGATTTTTTTCCCCTTTCCTTTTATTTTACTTAATTTTTTTTCCGTGATAATTTTATTTCTTTTGGGACGGATAGTGCTTGCATTAGGGGAAAAAGTATTTATAATCACATCAGTTGCGGCTGCTGCATAGCTTCTTGGTGGGCCGAAGGATACCACGACGTGTAGCTGGGGATATAGGTGCCCGGGGTCCCCGACGAGGCCTTACCGGAGGCGGAGGTGGTATTCCACACTGGGGGCACGGGTGGCGAGCTGCCCGAGAGAGCCCTGCCGTTGGTCAAGGCGCTGCTCTCCAGGGTGGCCCCTCCTTGCTTCATCAGCTTCTTGAATTTGGAACGCTTGTTCTGAAACCAAATCTTCACCTGCGAACGGGAATGGGGCAGGGCTCAGCATCCCTCGGTATGGTCCAGCATTGCCCCATCCCTCTGGGATCCGACGGATCCCCGCAACCAGCGGCCCCCCAGCTTCTCTCCCTTATTCCCCCCGTGGCTGATGTGTTATTTTGTGATGGCAAACCACCCAATAAGACACCCTCGCCAACCCCAGCGGGCCCCGCGGGGGCCTCCGCGTACCGGGTGCGCCTCCGCGGCGGGACAGGCGTCGCGCCGGGCCCCGTTGCCCGCGGTTGTGACCCGTCTGCATTACGCGTGGGGTCTCCCACGCCGGCTGTGGGGACAGGGAGGGGACACGGGAGAAGGCCCGGCTTAGTCGGCGCTGTACCTGGGTCTGGGTGAGTCCCAGAGATGCTGCGAGCTCGGCTCTTTCAGGGAGAGCCAGGTACTGAGTCTGCTGGAACCTCCTGTTCAAAGCCTGTAGCTGCAAACTGGAGTAAATAGTCCTGGGTTTGCGGATTTTTTTCCCTTTCCCATTAAAGCGAACTTCCCCTCCTTCTACCACAGTGCTTTTCTCCGATTCGGCCCCTATGAACAACAAACGATGCAGAATAAATAATAATAATAGCAGCAATAGCAATAATAGCAGTAACAGTAATAGCAGCAGCAGCAACAATAACAGCAACAACATCAACAATAACAATAATGAGAAGGAAGAAAAGTGAAGCTCGAGTAACGCTAACAAAGGCTCCAGGCGATTATGGCAGCCCAGGCTTCTTCCCAGAGAAAGTTTGCTATTTTTACAGGCTGCAGTTTAGGTTTAATTACCCTTAATTGCATACATTGTTTATAGCACTACGCAATAAATAATTACGAAGACTAATACGTGCACATCTGGGTTGGTTTCTTTTCCAGCCAGGCATTGTGTACTCTGTGTATTGGTCCCCTGTGATCCTCAGCTTCTCTTGACTAATATTTTGTAATTTAATTTATTTTTTTCCCCCACAGATTTTTTTTTTTTTTAATACAAGCACCCTTCCTCCCTCCTTGCTTTCCCTCCCCCCTTCCCCTCTCCCCAAAGCCGAGTGCACCTACCTGTCTCCTCTAACCGGGTCTGAGTCAGGCTGGAGCTGTTGGGGTAGGACTGCACTGAACTGATGTAGGGGTTGGTCGAGTGGCTGCTGACCGAGTTCACATAGGGGTAGCCCAGCGGTCGGGAGAAGGACGAAGCTGTGCTGTACGAGCTGTCAGGCTGAGAGTGGCCCGCGGAGTGTAAACAGTGCATGGAATAGTGTCCGTGGGACATGGGAGAAGGAGACATTTGCTGGCTGGGCGGCCCAAACTCCATAAAGACAGCCTTCCCTGAGACGGGGCTATTTAGACTCTCTGGCATGGTGGTCATGGTCATTTCTTGTCGCTTGGTCTGTGTGTGTGTTCTCTCTTCAGCTTGCCTTTTTGGGGTCTGTTGTGTTTCTCAGGACAGGAAAGAACCCAATTTAAGCGGAACAGGGTTTTTCACTTTCCATTCATAAGAAAATGGAGTTTGTCTCTTTGAAAAGTCTAAGCATGATGCTGTAGATCTACACAAACTCGCCTAAAAGCTTTGACTCAGCCAAGTCTATGAATATTCATGAGACGGCGGAGCTGATTGGTCCGCCGTCTTGCATAATCGCTTTGGATTGGTCCCTGGCGCTCGGGGCTCGGCCGGACCGCGGTGAGCGCGGAGCGCGGGTCTGGCGGCGCGTCCCCGAGCGCGGCCGCCCGACGGCACCGAGCCCCGCGCCCGCCCGGACCCGGGCAACGAGCCGCCAGGGACCCGCTCCATCGCCGGCCGCCCGCTCCCGGCCGCCCGCTCCCGAGGGCGCCGGTCCGGAGCTCGGCGGAAGGCAGCGCAAGCCCCTCCGCCCTTCCCCGCCCCTCGCCGCGCAGGCGGCGCGGAGGGGCAGCGGCCGCGCTCCGCCGGCGCCGCCGGGCTGCGGGGGTTCCGCCGCTCCTGCCCCTCTCCGGCGGGACCCGCGGACAAAGCGAGCGGCCCCCGCCCGCCCGGCCGGACACGCTCCGCGGGCGCTCAGGAGCTTCTCGGCCCCGGCCCGCGGGTCCCAGCGCCGCCCGCGCCGCCGGATCGCGCCGCCCGGCTCCCGTCGTTATTGTTTTAAAGGGAAAAAAACCAATCTAACCAAACAAAATCGCCGTAAAAGGGGCCAACGGCGCGTTTGAGCTTAAAATGAAAACTTCCGCACGCGTGAGAGGTAAATGAGGTGGGACTTGGGAGATCCTCCCCAGAAAGCCCACGATGAATCCCAAATTACTTTGCTAGATAATTAGAAAGTGTTGATAATTATTTCTTTCATAATTCTGCGGTGTGACTGTAACAGGAAAATGATCTTGTGAAAGTTCACACGTGCAGATGTATTAGTTACTGATTCATTTGATTAAATGCTAGTCTCAAGTGCTCTGATCCACAGCTGAAGGCGGCCCCATTAGCATAACACTGATGTTTAATTTTCATACGCATAATTAGCCATATATTTAACACTAATAGCAACATGCAGCCTTCCAGCATTAAACAGCCTGGGATTTGATCTGGCCTGGGCTGAACTTTCCCGGTTACACCTAGGCTGTCTAGGGTGCGCAGTTATCACGGCACCACATCTATGTAATCAAGCACATTTTGGCAAAGGGAGAAGACCAATAAAAGTGAACATTCAAAACAAATCGCGGCGTTGATGTCGTTAGAGGTATTAGCGCCGGCAGCGGGGCTGGGGCACCCCCAGCAGCGCCCGCACGGTGTTCAGACTCCTCCGGGCAGCGACGCTCCGTGAAGCAGTCGGCTCCTGACTGTGCAAAGCTGGCACAACCGAGCCCCTCTGTTCCTGACTTCTTTTTCCCCCCTTTCATTAGCGGCTCTGTCGGTTTTAATTGCTCGTCTCCTAATGCCTCTCTTACTTCCTCTTTCCCTCCATTTTTTTATTTAATGTTTTATTTTTTTGCTTTGCTCGCGATACGCAAAGTTCATTCTCACAAACTCTCCGAGGCTTGGCGCGAAACGGGCAATGGCGGTGTGTCCCAACACACACGGTGTCCCCTGGCAGCCGGCTCTGCCCCCCAGCCATGTAAGTGACGCCCCGAGGCGGTTTTGGGCGCTTGCCCGAGGAGGGGACAGGGCGCCCGGGCAGCTCCGGCACCTTCGGCGGCCTCAGCCCGACGGCTCCAGGGAGGGGAGGCTGCTCCGTGTCCGCAGGGTCTGCCGTCACCTCCTCCGGCCGGCCGGGCGCAGGCAGTCCCGAGGCGAACCACAGTCCCGCCGGCCCCGCCAAAACCGCGCGGACCGGTCGGTGGGGCTCTGCTCACACCCATGCTCCGGAGCGGGGCCGCTGCCCCTCCGCGCATCGCCGGCCTCGGGCAGCGCGGCTTCAGCGGGCGCGGAGGGGCCGCGGGACGCCCTGACCCGCGATTGCCACATCGGGGCTCTCACCGTGCTGGCCCGGCAAGACTTCCTGCGCGACGGGTCTGTGCGACGCGCTGGCTGTCCCCACACAGCCGACACATCTCTTTAGTCTCGTTCATAATTAGGATTACAAACGTGTGCCATCAATGCTTCCGCCTGGCCGCCACCGCTCTGCAGCCGACGGTAAAACCTGCAGTCCCCCCAGAGTTACCTGAGGGACTCTGGGGTGAACAGCGATTACCAGGAGCTGCCAGCAGTCCCCTTAAGCTGGGCTGAAGGAGGTTCCCCCTCCCGGCTGCCCCGTTCCCGTCTCACCCCACGCCGCGGTAAGCGCAGGACAGGAGGCAGAGGGGCAGACGATGGTGAGAAGCTTGGCATCTGTGATGCCATCCAGGTGCTCCGGGCTTGGCCAAAATCCACGGGAGGCGTCCCTGGAGTGCCTCTGGGATGCGCGGGGCACAAGCTGCCCCCAGTGCCCCGCGGAGGGGGAAACGCTACCGAACGTAAGCGAACAAAATACATCCCCCTCCGGGCAGTGCCGAGGGTCGCTTGTGCTGTTTAATCTGTGTGTTTGTAAACTTGGCTGCATCGTTTGTTTTGCAGGTTTTATGGCCTTTCATGCTCCTCTTGGGGAGGACAACGCTGAGCGGCTGCCCTGCAGCGTTAGCTGTGTTCAGGGAGGGGGGTCCCCCCTTTTTGAAAAGGTGCTGTTAGAAACTATTAGAGCTGAGAGCTCACTGTACTTGAGTGAAAGCAAACAGGCATGTAAAGCTGTAAGAAAGAGGCTTACTTCTGCCCGGGACCACTGAGGGAGCCGGTGCTGAGCTGCCCTGGTTGCCTGAATGTGCTGAGGCCAGCCCTCAGCACAGGACCGCATCCCCCTGCAATGGGGAGCAAATTATTTGTACCAAACCGCACTGCTGCTGCCTTGGGCTTGGGAAACTTCTGGAAGTCATTTATCTCCAAACACTATCCTGCATTTCATAGGACCAGGTCCTGCTCTCATAGCCTCCAAGTTCCAATGCCAGACCCATCTGGCCTGACAGGGTGGTCAGCAACTGCCTAAATTGCAAATCAAACCCTGCACCCCCCGCAGGCCCAGGACAGGACCACAGAGAGCATGGGGTCGAGAGAGACCCGCATCTCCTCTGTTTCCATAAAACGCTTAAACTGCAGAGTGCCTTTCCCTTAACTAACGTGGGCACCGCAGAGCAGTGATTACCCCAAACCAGCTAATTCTTCAAGCAGGGCAATTATTGATCCCCAGAGAGGTGTGCTTCGCATCTCATTTTTAATCATTTTTTTGTGCTGTGTAAAAAGAGGCAAGAAGGGGGGGATTGCTGCTGGGAAGGATGCGGGGAAGAGGCTGCTGCCTCCGCCTGACACCCTCATGAAACTTCTTTCCATCCTAGTAGAAGTTACAGCCTGGGAAACAGCACTGTGCTAATCGCAGTGAAGACAAATTGCCTCCACAGCTCAGCTATAAAGGGAAAATACTATGTTTCTCTGTCCTCTCAGCTGCACAAAGACTGTGTCATCTGATACCTGTTTGTCCCACATAGGATTTGGAAGAGAGAGGACCCGCTCTCTGTCCTTCACTCCAAATAACCCAAACCTTTGCACTTGCAGACTGTGCATGGCTGCTGCAAGGGTCACAAACAAGCCAAGGGACTTTTATTAAATACTCACCAGGTAACACACAGAAAGAACTATGTCCAGAGCTGACCCCTCAAGCTGCTTTTTCTGTCCCCTGCAGTGACTCACACAGCACCCATACCCCAGAGAAATTACAGAAACCTCTTCTCTGTCCTGAGTGAAACTGGAAATCCCAGAAGTACAGCAAGTCCCTCCGCTCCTTGCTCCGTCTTTAGGTTTCTTCCACCAGTCTAGTGAGGATTTCTGCTCCTTCTGAGGTAATCACAATGGTATGTTCAAATTGTGCTGATCTGAAATGCACATTTAGCAGTTATTACGGGGCAAACGCATCCACCACGCATGAAAACTCATCCGTTTGGGTTTTTTTGTCTGTCAGTGATGAGTTCCATGGCTTAGGAAATAACAAAAAATAAAATCAGGCACCTTTTATTGTCTATAGAAATTGCCGTCCATTTATCCTTCAGAATCTTAAATTCGGGGGATCCTTCCATTATTATTGGCTCTGCAGCAAGAAAAACAAAATGTATTCTAAAGTTAGTTGCACTCCTGCGTGGATTGTGAAACAAGCAAGAAAGGAGGGGGGATGTCCCAGCAGGTAGCTCCCCATCCACACAGGTCCCGTCCTCCCTAGGCCGGGGAGGCCACACTGAAATGTGAACTAAAAAGGAAGATGAAATATCAAGGTAGGAAGTTGCCCATTCCCTTTTGTAAAAGCAGGGAATTTTAATCAAGCTTTAATTAAGACCCCGTGGATAATAACCAAAGCACCAACCACATTTATAAACAGCAGATAGTTTTAAATATTTGAATTTTTTAAACAGGCTTAAAATGTTCATTAAATCAGCAAAACAACAATTTTCTTATTTCCCTCTAATTGCCGTGCCATTTAGCCACACAGTGAGAAAGAGGGTTTTTCCCCCAGCAGCTTTCCACGATTGGAAGTGAGCACCATCAGTCTGCGGGGCGAGGCTCCGGCTGGTTACCGCCGCCGCAGTCCCCAAACCCAACAGCAGCTCTGGCAGACAGCGAATGACTAAGTGCCACCAGGCTGCTCAGCATCGGGGACATGATCAAATCCTTCTCACCCTCCTCAACTCAAGTGTGCTGGCAGAGTCTCTGCCTTGCCAAAAATACGTGTCAAGTATTAATAAGATTTGTAAAAAAATTTCATTTTTTAAATCTTGCAATTTGAAAGCTGTTTCACTCACATGGTCCCTTAGTTATAATTTTAAAAAAATTATATTTTAGTCTGCTTCCTAAGAGGTCAGTGTCGCCAACATCCTCCTGTCTGCACAGCTATTTCTATATCCTAATAGAGAAATTTAACGGATCTGGGCTGCTCCGTGTGTGTTTTTTAACAGAAAACCATAGCAGAGAGTTACTAACCTATTGTGAACGCCATCCCCTCTTCCATTAACAAATCGCTGTCATTGGCTACAAAAGAAAATAAAAACGTGTTTATGGATCTTGGCTCTCTTTTTTTTTTTTCTTCTA